TAAACTAAACATGTTCATTGTTAAATTAAAATGCTATGTATTGGCAGATCTAGAAATTAAAATGTTGCAGAATTAAAGACTTCATCCTAATTAACATTAAAATTAACATGAACAGTAATTAAACTACCATGCTTGAGGTTGAAAAGAGGTATGAACACCACATAAGTAATCATTGAATAAAATGCTACTTATTATAAACATTAAATTAATTGTAAATGGAAAGAGAACAATACCTTGCATAAACTTGAAAAATTGAAGTTCATTGCATGAAAGGAAATTGTTGAATTGAATACATGAATTAATTTGTCTACTGGAATGATGAAAAACAACCTAATTCTACTGGAATCTGTGCTGAAATTCGAAATCTTGAAGCAGATTGCAGAGAAAATAAAGTCTAAAAATTTGCAGATGTTTGAGTAGGGCTGGCCGTGTGTTCTCCCTTGAAAAATTTCCTTTTTGTTCTTCTTGTGCTGGCAGTAACTTCCACTTTTTGCAGTTACTCAATCATGGGTGGTTTCTTGAAGTAATGGGACAACTCACCAATTGACTTGGTCTTATCTCCTTGCAGATTTTCGTTATCTATTTCTTTATCAGATAAAAACCCTCTTTAACTACAATCCTCTCCTATATTTTAGCTTAAACAGTCCCTATTTACCTCTGCAAGATAATTACACAGTAAAACCTCAAGTTTATCTTCCATTTTTTTGCTAAAATGACAGCTGATCTGTCATGAGACCTAGAATTACGAATCTGTCCTAACCTCATCTCCTCTATCCGCTAAAAAATATTTTACACGTGGCTTTATCTTAAAATGTTACAATTTATGGTGTAAACAGTTTGATTTTGAAATCTGTAGCTTGTGAGCTTGTTTGCCACTTTATTGTTGAAAGTTCCTGTTTTTTATTAACTTATCATGTAATTGTTAAGAGTTAAAATATCTCTTGTACTTTAAAAAAAATTATTTACCAAAAAAAAAAAATAAAGCAAACTAGGATTCATGATGTGTTATATGTTTATTTATTTAATAACATGTAAAAATTAGATTAAAAATTGTACAAAAATGTTGTTCACATCTTAGTACCTAAAAATATTAACCATTTATATCACCAAAGCGTCATTTATTGGTATTATGTTGTATTGTAGTTGTAAGTTTTTTTACTTTTATTATCCAAAAATATATAAAAAATTAAAAAAAACTCATAAAAATATATAAAAGGTGTTACATAAAAATGATTTGTAAGAAACAATGTAAACGAAGTCTGAATTAAATCAGTAAACCACGAGTATCTTCCTTTTTTCTATTTATGTTCTTATTTTCTGTATTTTTTAAATAAAAAAAATCAACTTTTATTCAAATTCAGTAAAACATGGCCCATGGCCTGCCTTAAATTAAATCATGAGGTTCCGAGCTTCCCACAGTGTTAAAAAGCCCATAGCTTGATGGGCCTGTGTGAGGCCTGTAGAGTTTAGT